GAGTAATAATTCATTTAAAAAGGGAGGATCAGAGCAACAAGTACCCATCACAAAGTAGAATAATAACAAAATTGTAAAAGAGCTATAAATTTTAGGATATTTTTTTTCTCGTCTTCACTATAACATATGCCTAAAAATATAGTATACTTTGGAAAAAAATAACAGAAATTCGAAAAGGTAAATTTAATGTGTCTGTTAAAATAATTTTAAAGAAAGAAAAAAAAATTTTAATATTGATCAAATTCGCCTGAAATTTGTTACTGGAATGCTTTCGCGTGCTGGATCCAATATATCAAACAAATTTTCTTAAAATTGAACAGATTCGTCTGAAACTTGTTACTCGGGAGTTTTCGGGGTCACTGGTTATGAATATAATTTCAAATTTTACCAATTAAAAAGGGCGAATTCAATATGGCGACTCAAAATTTGTAAAATTGACAAGATTTCCATAAAACTAGTTGCTAGAAAGTTTTTGGAGACCAGATTCGTATGATCTAATATACATTATATTCTTAAAATAAAATCTAAAAACTCCACTATTAAAGGGTTAAAAACGTATATAGGGAAGAGCGGAGCAAAGGCGTTTTTTAAAATAACTTCCTTATCACTAATCTATTACAATTTAAATGTTAAAAACAAAAGTAATGATTATTTTTTATAAAATAACTAAAATTCTTTGAAAAATGTACTATTTCAAAGATATACGGCCAATTATTGTAATTTTGTATAATTTTAACAGATGTATAATTTTCTTCATTTAAAAAATATAAGCAAAAGCGTCGCTGCTCCGCCATACAGGGCAAAGATGTTTTTTGCATCTTCTTAAAAATAATTGAATTAAATAATCATGCTTAAAATAAATTCAGTTTTTACTATTGATATTTGTTGTTAATTAGTTTTAAATTAATTAGAAAAAAATCACGCAAATTTATAATGTAATAAAAATATTTACACATAAAAAAAAATTGAAAATTTTTGAATTTACGAAATTTTTATTAAAACATTTGCAAAAAACTTTTTTGTGTAATGTAAACAAAAATGTGTAACAACTGTAAAAAATTGTTATGCAAGTAAAAACGAACTTTTTTATTTAGAGCAGAAAATTTGAAAATTATTTTTATGTGAACTCAATTTGCAATAAAAAAAGTTTTAATGTTATAAGAAAATAAGAATAAAATTCTATTAAAAGTTATTAAAAATGCTCATTAATTAGTTTAATTTTCGCTCCAATGCGTTATTATGTTAGAAGGTGTTCGAAATGCCCTCCTTCTTGTTCGACACACAAGTTTGCTCTTCGAATTAAATCATTGATGCTGGTTTGCAGCATTTCAGGAGTGACCTCTGCAACAGCGTCCGTGATTCTGCCCATCAGTTCTTCTACATTTTGAACAGGATGTCTGTATATTGCACTTTTTATTTTCCCCCAGAAAAAATAATCTAGGGGATTTAAATCAGGGGAACGTGGAGGCCACGCTACTCTGCTTCCACGCCCTATGAAGCGATTGCGGAATCTTCGGCGGAGCCAGCGCTGATTTTGGTGATGTGTATGTGGCGGCGCGTTATCGTGCTGAAACCAAATCATCCGAATTTCACGATTAGTGAATCCTGCTCTTCGCAGACGGGGTATCAATCTCCGCAGCATCCTTAACCTATATCTGCGTCCTGTCAGAATCCCTTGGTAATTATAGGGACCAATCTGAAAATATCAATTATTGATAATTTTGGAAAAAGATACCAAATTTTTTTAATTAAATAATTTATTTTTATTCAAGTTTTTCTTCATTGTTATAAATATAAGTATATTAGAAAAAATAAAGAAAATAAAAAATTTAAGAAATTAAAAAAAGCAATGAATAGATGCCTAATTAAAAAATTAATGGATTGATCCTATGTTCATTTTTAAAAATTCTATCATTTAAAAATTACTCATTACATCGACATAAATTTTTAAAAATATTTTTAGCTAACATATTACTTTTTTGTTCTCGAATAGTGGTATAATAAAACAAAAATAAATTCTATATTGTAGTTTGTAAAAAGGGCATATTTTGTAAGTTAATGGTGGTGATTTTTATTTTTTGACGACATCTAGGCGATAAATGACTGAATTTAAGGTTAAACTAAAAAGTAGGATTACACTGACCCTGTGTGTGCTCCAAGGATTAAAAATCATTGCTCATGTGGTTTACAATGTAGTGAATGGAATGTTTTATGTTTCATAGGCGTAAAAATAAATAAATAATAAATTAATTAATTAATTGAAAAATAAATAAAATGAAAAAAAAAATTGAGTAATTTGGAATTTCATAAAGGTAATTAAAAAAACATTGAGAAAGAGGAACAGAAAACATTAAATTTTTATAAAGTTAAAAGAAAATATAAATTAATTAATTTTTTTTAATTACTTATTCAAATAAAAGATAATAAGAATTGGAGCGAAACAATAAATTTAAAAATAAACAAAAACTAGGATTACTTTATGATTATAATTTTTGAAAATTTATAAAATAATATTAATGTATAATTATAAATTATAATTAAGTTAAATTATTACCAAACGGTTGCCGATCATTCCGGCCCAAAGATTTATTCCAAATCGAGTTTGGAAGCCTCTTATAGAGGTTAAAAAAGGGTTCACTGGAGCCCAAAAATGGAAGTTTCGAAAATTCCAGATTCCATCATTCCCGAACCTCGATTCATCCGTAAATAGGATTCTTGAGAGAAAGGTGTTGTCAAGTTGGTGCTGTTGCAGTATCCAATTGCAAAATCTTAAGCGGTGTGCAGCATCTCCTGGCCTTAATTCTTGTACACGCGTTAGGTGGTACGCGTGCCATCTCTCTAATTTCAAGGTCCTCTGCACAGCGTAATAACTTAAATTAAGTTGACGGCTCATTCCTCTGATTCCAGCTTCTGGGTTTTCTTCGACCAACTGAAGAATTCTCTCGCGATTTTCTGCGTTGACGACGTTCCGAGGACGACCTGCTTCCCTATGATTTGGCATTGCACTTCCTGTTCTTTGCAACCGACGTACTGCATCTAGGACGACCTTTGCCGTCGGTCGTGGCCAATCGGGGTGCCTCTCGATAAAATCTCGAGCAGCAGCTCTTCCGTTATAATTATTTGCACCGTACAGCAGAATCATCTCTGCGTACTGCTCGCCGGTGTACATTGTTAAAGACGATCAAGACGCATAACACAAACAAAGAAAAATATGAATAAAGTAAAGAGAAAACGAATACAATTGTAAAACACCGAATGGTGAACGACTTCAACGATTTAATGTCATATATGGCTACTGATATTTTGACGAAAAACAAAAAAACAAATGAGTTAGTTGCTATAGCAACTAACAGGACAACGTGACATCATACTGTATCAGATGAATCATATGTACAAAAAAATTCAAAAAAAGGTTAATAAAAATATAGTTATTGGTCATCTATCGTATATATTTATAAATTTTTTATGTCAAAATTAAAAAAAAATTTAAACGTTTATTTTATATCGTTTTGCAAAAAATCATGTACCCCCCCCCCCTCCCAGCGGCCACACGAAGTTATCTGGAGGGATAAAATTAGGTTCAAATATGTAATTTTGCTTGTAGATTACAGGAAAAATATAGCATGCACGATTGGAGTTGATGATCATAATGTTTATAAGGAAAACTGATAATTTTATAAAAAATGATGGATTTTTCCATTAAAAAAGAAGACAATTTTATCTAAAGGGATTCAAATTTATATACTTTTACTTATTTTTAGGTGTAGATTACAAAAAGTATAACGAGCACGATAGGAGTTGATTTGCATGGCGTCGTCATGGAAAAACTGATAATTTAAAAAAAAAATTGTGAATTTTCTCCCAAAAGCGAAGAAAATTTTATCTAAATGGCTTAAATTTATTTATTTTTACGCGTAAATTATAGAAAAAATTTAACAAAAATGACAGAAAGTTGTTTTAATAAAGTTTATTTTCGAAAAATAAAATTTTTTGAAAAAGTGGAGTTTTTCATTAAGTCGAGGTACGGAACCCTCGATTTCAATGCGAGTGTAACTCGCACTTGTTTTATATTTAAAAATATTTTTTCTTCTATAAAAAAGAAAAAAATTTAATAATTTGAACTTAATCACCTATTCTAATGAATTTTTTTTATAAATACTAAAAAAAAAGATTTCTTTAATTTAAATAATCGGTTACTTGATTTTTATCAATTAAATATTTATTAGAACTGTTTTTCATTCAAATTTCTATTTAATGACTAATTATATATTTTTGAAAGCTGACATTGCAGAGAAAATTATGAAATCAAACTTATCCTCATATGACTATTACATTATATTTTTATTATAATTTTCTTACATTATATAGTATTATTAGAATTATGTTAAGTTAAGTTTCACATATTTATTAAACAAACAAATATTTTTTAAATTAAATAAATTTTGTAAATAATTTTTCTTTATTATTTAATTTAAACAATACTTTAGTTAAAAAATTTAATTTATTATTTTTTAATGACTTAAAATTATTTATTTATGATTGTAGTGATGAATTCAACTAAAAAAATTAATAAATAAAATGAAGAAGATATTATATTATTTCAAGAAATTCAATGTTTTGTCAGATATCTATACATGCTTTGAAACTTTTTTGCATATTTTTTTCCATTAATTTTGGAGATATTTGTCTTGCACATTTCACTCAAAAACTAAATTTTTATGTAATTTCCATTTCTTTATAATATTTCTTTTTTTTGTACAGCACTCAATGTTTATCTGTTGTTCATTGTCATTAAAAAAATAATAATATTCAATATTTTTTTGGAAATTTTATAATATGTGTTTTAATTAAAAATAATTGTTAAACAAATGATAAACATTTTTCCAATAAAAACAGTTAACATTTTGACGTTTCTGAAAATAAAAAATATTTTTATATTTAGATTTTGGTGACAATTGTATTAATAGTATTTCTATTAAATCAAAAAATAAAGTTTTTAAATGTATGCCTTAGTGCAATGGACAAAGGACAAAAGTTTAAGTGTTGTCCAGAGTAAAGAAATACTTAAAAAAAAGGGAAATTCCGCAAATGTTTCGTGGTGCAGTAAAATATACAATGTCAATATTATCGCAATAAATGGTAAGTCCTGGTTTGATTATATGAAATAAATTTCATATAGTAATCTATATGAAATTTATTTTTATTAAATTATATTAATAAATAAAATTATTTTTATTTTTTTACTTTTATTCAAACTTTAAATATATAAATAAATAATACAATAAAAATGTATAAATTTAATTAAATATGTACATTAAAAGGAAAATTCAACTTTTTTAGAAGCTCAAAAAAAATTATTTTATAGTTTAAACTTTATTTAATAGATTCCAAAGAATGGTTAGAAGGGTTATCCGTTAACTCTCATGGTATTGTCTTGGGACAAGATTCTCCAAGTGTGGAAAGTGGTAATTTTATTTTGTTTCGAATAATCACAATTTTAATTTATTTGAACTGAAATTCATTAATTTGAATTAATGCAAATATTGATTGATTTAACTTTGAAATTAAAGAATTCTATTTTATTCAAATTTTAAATGTTTTAAATTTTACATTATTTTTATTTTAATTTAATTAAAATTAAATTGATGTAAATTCAATATTGGGTTGGTGAAGCTAGCGACCCGCCCCTGCCAGACATTACAAGAATCTTTTAAATAGTTATTAAAATATATGTTTAATAAATTTTAGTATTATTTAAATTGTTTTTTTACAATTGTATTAATTATTACTCTTAATGATCGCTTTTTTAAACAATAAAATTTCAAAAAATTATGTTTCTGTAACTGTCAGTAAGACTGCTGATTATTAATTATAACAAAAAAAATCAGTTAAATTTTCTTTTTACATAGTAACATCCTAGCATCAATTCCTGAATTTGAATAAATTTTTTGATTAACAATTTTTATTTCTAGACATTTTTTAAACGACATATTTCTAAAAATCGCTTTCACCTACGGGCGGGTGGGAACGTTGGCTATTAAATATTAATAAAAAAAATCTGATTAATTTTTTTCTTAAAAAGTAACATCCTAGCAACAATTCCTAACTACGAAAAAATTATTTCATGAAAATTTTTAAAAGTTACACATTTTTTAAACGAGGATTTTTCAAAAATCGTATTCTTGCTACGGGCGGGTGGGGACGCTGGCTATTAAATATTAATTCTTGACTTCGAAAAAAATCTTCATTGAAAATTTTTAATTCTAGACATTTTATAAACGGATAATTTCCAAAAATCGCTTTTCTGATCCTATTTTTAATTAAATATTCAAATTTTCTAATCAGCACATAAGCTTGCGACATAATCGCAGCAAACTTGTGTCAAGTAAATTTTTTTTAACAAATTATTGTTTCAAGCTTGCCGCGCAAGTATAATTTTCAATTATATCCTATGTTAGTTTTAAATAATTATAAATAGTAGATTCAATATATCTGTTAGCCGTAGATTCACCTTTGCTACATTCTTTGTATTCTACAAGAACATATTAAAAAATGTTTTGTGGTGTTAAGCGTAATTTTTTAAACATTTGAAAATTTCTAAAGCTTGCGGAAATCGAACTCGCAACCTAACGCATCGCAGTCTAGCACACTAACCACAAATATTACATATCTGAATTTTAAATTAAAAACATTTTCTATGATTTAAGTTTAAAAATTATCCAAATTTAAATTTTAAGTTATCCTATTTTAATTTATTTAAAGTTCTTTTAATGTAAGTTTCAAATTATCCGTACTTTAATTTATTTAAATTTTAATTGATTTAAATTTTAAATTATTCGATTTAATATTTTCATTGATTTAAGTTTCGAATTATGGCGATGTTAATTTATTCAAATATTAATTTATTAAAGTTTAATATTCTTTGAATTTTAATTTACACAATTTTTAATTAACTCAATTTTAAATATAATTGGATTTAAGATATAACACTTTCATATATAGTTACTACAGAAGTTGCATCCTGTCAGGGAGATATTGCAACACCTGCACAACATTCAGGAAACATTTCGGTTAGTTGTTCGTTTTATTATTATTGATTTATCCAGAAAAATGTCTGTTAAATTTGACTTTATTTTAACTATTTTTCCTTATTCCAGGAGTCTCTATTTAACAAACTGTAGTATAAAAGACTATTTCACAAACAGACTAATAGTAAAAATCATAACTACTATTTATGTAGTAAATTTAACTACAAAAGAGATTTTAAATTTATTATTATTAATATTAGTATTAACAAAGTTAGTAATTTTAACTAGATAAAATAAACTATTTAAATTTAGTACTACACTGTAAAAAAAGGGTTAATTTCAACTCCCTAGAAGATGCTATAAAAGTCCTATTCTTTTAGAGTAGATGCGATCGAGTTAATTTTATGCTTAGAGAGTTTTATTAAGGAGTTTAATTATTAACTTCCTTTTCCAGTTGATTTTTAACTCGAAAAATTTAACTCTCGGTGCTGTTAACTCCCTAACTTTTTTACAGTGTACTAACTGTATAAGTTAAATAAAAATCATTCTGAATATAGTACTTTTATCTACTAATTTTCAACTAAATAATTGTAGTAATTTTTACCAATGCCAGTGTTTTAAATCCGTATGTATGTCGTACGGTCAGTCTGTATAATATTATTCTCTCGTTTTCCTTCTTTCGTCCGTATCTTATAATCTCTGTCACTATTTCTTTCACAGTCTCTCATTGTCTTCCTTACTATTTTAGACATATATATCACAATAGATTTTAATAATTTCCTTTTGAAAACAGGTTGAACATGACGATGCACCAATGATTAAAATAATAAATAATGAAATTTTTATTGACCCCCAAGTCGAAATGGAATTTACGCGCTACCAACAACATCCGGCAGAAATAGTTCGAAAATTGATGCTGGCTTTAATTGGTAGGGAGGAATTAAAGCTCATGTCAGCAATTGGGGACCCAAGAAGAAAAGATCCTAGAATTCCAATACCTCAAGATATAAGAAGAGCAGTATATAGTAAAACAATTTTTGCTATCAATTTATTAAAATTCTCTCCCTAGCGAATCAGTTCCATCAATCTTTGAGCCCTCACGTGGAAAGAATCCTAGAAAAGTGCTCATGGAAATTTCAGCCGGAATTCTAAACGGCATTTAGTCGGAAATTTCCCAGGAGCACTTTAATAGGAATCTTTCCACGTGAGCCACTTTGAACAAGTTTTGTTCAAGTTTGATTTGAAGCAAAATATTGCAAATAATTAGTACATTATCATAAAAAAATAAACACTGCTATATTATTCAATTTTTAGTTGATTAGTGGAAGAATTATAAGAGATTATACTTACAGGAATAATTAATGTGCACATTAAATAACTCTGTTCTCGAAAAGGGTATTTTTTGGAACAATCTGGGCATATGGTGTATTAACCTTCTTTGGGTACGCTGAATTCAATAGCGTTATCCGTTTTTCATAATCGTATAAAAATTTTAAAATAGTGGCCATATTTTGTGGTTCATTATCAAAATACAAAATTTTACTGATAAGAAAATATAAGATTTACTTAAACCTCGTTGCATAAGGGTTTTTGGGGTCACTGATTACGAATCAGATATCAGTTTTTTTGAAATTTTATATAAAGAACTTACTAAGATGGATGAATTTTTAAAAACTCAAGAAATTTATTTGAAACTTGTTAGTCCGTCGTTTTTTGAGGTCGCTGACAAAAGGTGTGTAATCAGTGACCATGAAGTAGTGAATTTAAAGTAGATTAGTTGAATTTTCAACAAATTTATCACCCATACTAGATCCACCATTTTCAATTTTGAAAAACTGACATTGAATTCGTAATCAGCTACCCCAATAACCTCCGAGTAACGGCTTTTAAACGAATTTGATACATTTTTAAAAATTCGTCCAAAATTTCAATTTTCAAAAACTGACAATAGTGTAATTATTATAGTTCTATTTAACATAATTCAACCGCAAATAAATTAAATAAAGAATAATTTGTCAATAGTTATCATTTCTTTTATCATACTGTACTAAATATGGTTAAAATACTTTGTTCTAAATCAAAATTCCTTCCGAATTTAATTAATATAATTCACCAAGGCTCAATCATTTACTAAATATTTATAAAAATTTTAAATATAGGGTACATTCAGAATAACACCCAAGGTCTTGAGCACCAAAAATACATTGAAATAATAAACAATCAATGCCGAACGCTTCGCAATCCAAAAAAAAAAAATTAAAAAGTTAAATAGAATTTAAATTTATATATATTATCATTTACGTTATAAATTCATTAAAGAAAATAAATATATGGAAAAAAATGTGTTATATTATTTAAAAAAATTTATAAAACTATCTATTTTTACAGTATGCATTAAAATGCGTTGTTATACAGTAAACAAAGCATAAGTGATGCTTCTACATTGTGGTCGTTCAAGTACAAATGGTATGACATCAGTGTTGCGTTAAGATACCACGGCAATAGCACCGATCTTAGAGTACCAGTGGTATAACGTAGCAATTGCGTGGCTATATCGTGGATATAACGTGAGCATACCGTGGCAAAGGAGCAGGTTCTTTCATACGTGCCTGTTGCGTGGGTATAGCGTGGGCATACCGTGGGCATACCGTGGCAATAGCTAAGGTTCTTTTTACGAGCCTGTTGCGTGGGTATAGCGTGGGCATACCGTGGCAATAGCGTAGGTTCTTTATTACGTGCCTGTTGCGTGGGTATAGCGTGGGCATACAGTGGCAATAGCGTAGATTCTTTATTACGTGTTTGTTGCGTGGTTATAGCGTGGGCATACCGTGGCAATAGCGTAGATTCTTTATTACGTGTTTGTTGCGTGGTTATAGCGTGGGCATACCGCGGCAATAGCGTAGATTCTTTATTACGTGTTTGTTGCGTGGGTATAGCGTGGGAATACCGTGGGCATACCGTGGCAATAGCTTAGGTTCTTTTAACAAGCTTGTTGCGTGGGTATAGCGTGGGCATACCGTGGCAATAGCGTAGATTCTTTATTACGTGTTTGTTGCGTGGTTATAGCGTGGGCATACCGCGGCAATAGCGTAGATTCTTTATTACGTGTTTGTTGCGTGGCTATAGCGTGGGAATACCGTGGGCATACCGTGGCAATAGCTTAGGTTCTTTTAACGAGCTTGTTGCGTGGGTATAGCATGGGCATACCGCGGCAATAGCGTAGGTTCTTTATTACGTGTTTGTTGCGTGGTTATAGCGTGGGCATACCGCGGCAATAGCGTAGATTCTTTATTACGTGTTTGTTGCGTGGTTATAGCGTGGGCATACCGCGGCAATAGCGTAGATTCTTTATTACGTGTTTGTTGCGTGGGTATAGCGTGGGCATACAGTGGCAATAGCGTAGATTCTTTATTACGTGTTTGTTGCGTGGTTATAGCGTGGGCATACCGTGGCAATAGCGTAGATTCTTTATTACGTGTTTGTTGCGTGGTTATAGCGTGGGCATACCGCGGCAATAGCGTAGATTCTTTATTACGTGTTTGTTGCGTGGGTATAGCGTGGGAATACCGTGGGCATACCGTGGCAATAGCTTAGGTTCTTTTAACGAGCTTGTTGCGTGGGTATAGCGTGGGCATACCGTGGCAATAGCGTAGATTCTTTATTACGTGTTTGTTGCGTGGTTATAGCGTGGGCATACCGCGGCAATAGCGTAGATTCTTTATTACGTGTTTGTTGCGTGGCTATAGCGTGGGAATACCGTGGGCATACCGTGGCAATAGCTTAGGTTCTTTTAACGAGCTAGTTGCGTGGGTATAGCATGGGCATACCGCGGCAATAGCGTAGGTTCTTTATTACGTGTTTGTTGCGTGGTTATAGCGTGGGCATACCGCGGCAATAGCGTAGATTCTTTATTACGTGTTTGTTGCGTGGTTATAGCGTGGGCATACCGCGGCAATAGCGTAGATTCTTTATTACGTGTTTGTTGCGTGGTTATAGCGTGGGCATACCGTGGCAATAGCGTAGATTCTTTATTACGTGTTTGTTGCGTGGTTATAGCGTGGGCATACCGCGGCAATAGCGTAGGTTCTTTATTACGTGCCTGTTGCGAGGGTATAGCGTGGGCATACCGTGGCAATAGCTTAGGTTCTTTTTACGAGCCTGTTGCGTGGGTATAGCGTGGGAATACCGTGGGCATACCGTGGCAATAGCTTAGGTTCTTTTAACGAGCTTGTTGCGTGAGTATAGCGTAGGCATACCGTGGCAATAGCGTGGCAATAGCGTGGGTTCTTTATTACGTGCCTGTTGCGTGGGTATAGCGTGGGCATACCGTGGCAATAGCGTAGGTTCTTTTTACGAGCCTGTTGCGTGGGTATAGCGTGGGCATACCGTGGCAATAGCGTAGGTTCTTTTTACGAGCCTGTTGCGTGGGTATAGCGTGGGCATGCCGTGGGCATACCGTGGCAATAGCTTAGGTTCTTTTAACGAGCCTGTTGCGTGGGTATAGCATGGGCATACCGCGGCAATAGCGTAGGTTCTTTATTACGTGTTTGTTGCGTGGGCATACCGTGGGCATACCGCGGCAATAGCGTAGATTCTTTATTACGTGTTTGTTGCGTGGGTATAGCGTGGGCATACAGTGGCAATAGCGTAGATTCTTTATTACGTGTTTGTTGCGTGGTTATAGCGTGGGCATACCGTGGCAATAGCGTAGATTCTTTATTACGTGTTTGTTGCGTGGTTATAGCGTGGGCATACCGCGGCAATAGCGTAGATTCTTTATTACGTGTTTGTTGCGTGGGTATAGCGTGGGAATACCGTGGGCATACCGTGGCAATAGCTTAGGTTCTTTTAACGAGCTTGTTGCGTGGGTATAGCGTGGGCATACCGTGGCAATAGCGTAGATTCTTTATTACGTGTTTGTTGCGTGGTTATAGCGTGGGCATACCGCGGCAATAGCGTAGATTCTTTATTAGGTGTTTGTTGCGTGGTTATAGCGTGGGCATACCGCGGCAATAGCGTAGATTCTTTATTACGTGTTTGTTGCGTGGGTATAGCGTGGGCATACAGTGGCAATAGCGTAGATTCTTTATTACGTGTTTGTTGCGTGGTTATAGCGTGGGCATACCGTGGCAATAGCGTAGATTCTTTATTACGTGTTTGTTGCGTGGTTATAGCGTGGGCATACCGCGGCAATAGCGTAGATTCTTTATTACGTGTTTGTTGCGTGGGTATAGCGTGGGAATACCGTGGGCATACCGTGGCAATAGCTTAGGTTCTTTTAACGAGCTTGTTGCGTGGGTATAGCGTGGGCATACCGTGGCAATAGCGTAGATTCTTTATTACGTGTTTGTTGCGTGGTTATAGCGTGGGCATACCGCGGCAATAGCGTAGATTCTTTATTACGTGTTTGTTGCGTGGCTATAGCGTGGGAATACCGTTGGCATACCGTGGCAATAGCTTAGGTTCTTTTAACGAGCTAGTTGCGTGGGTATAGCATGGGCATACCGCGGCAATAGCGTAGGTTCTTTATTACGTGTTTGTTGCGTGGTTATAGCGTGGGCATACCGCGGCAATAGCGTAGATTCTTTATTACGTGTTTGTTGCGTGGTTATAGCGTGGGCATACCGCGGCAATAGCGTAGATTCTTTATTACGTGTTTGTTGCGTGGTTATAGCGTGGGCATACCGTGGCAATAGCGTAGATTCTTTATTACGTGTTTGTTGCGTGGTTATAGCGTGGGCATACCGCGGCAATAGCGTAGGTTCTTTATTACGTGCCTGTTGCGAGGGTATAGCGTGGGCATACCGTGGCAATAGCTTAGGTTCTTTTTACGAGCCTGTTGCGTGGGTATAGCGTGGGAATACCGTGGGCATACCGTGGCAATAGCTTAGGTTCTTTTAACGAGCTTGTTGCGTGAGTATAGCGTAGGCATACCGTGGCAATAGCGTGGCAATAGCGTGGGTTCTTTATTACGTGCCTGTTGCGTGGGTATAGCGTGGGCATACCGTGGCAATAGCGTAGGTTCTTTTTACGAGCCTGTTGCGTGGGTATAGCGTGGGCATACCGTGGCAATAGCGTAGGTTCTTTTTACGAGCCTGTTGCGTGGGTATAGCGTGGGCATGCCGTGGGCATACCGTGGCAATAGCTTAGGTTCTTTTAACGAGCCTGTTGCGTGGGTATAGCATGGGCATACCGCGGCAATAGCGTAGGTTCTTTATTACGTGTTTGTTGCGTGGGTATAGCGTGGGCATACCGTGGCAATAGCGTAGGTTCTTTATTACGTGTTTGTTGCGTGGGCATACCGTGGCAATAGCTTAGGTTCTTTTTACGAACCTTTTGGGTGGGTATAGCTTGGGCATACCGTGGGCATAACGTGGCAATAGCTTAGGTTCTTTTAACGAGCCTGTTGCGTGGGTATAGCGTAGGCATACCGTGGGAATACCGTGGCAATAGCGTGGCAATATCATGGGTTCCTTATTACGTGTTTGTTGCGTGGGTATAGCGTGGGCATACCGTGGCAATAGCTTAGGTTCATTTAACGAGCTTGTTGCGTGGGTATAGCGTGGGCATACCGTGGGCATACCGTGGCAATAGCGTGGCAATAGCGTGGGTTCTTTATTACGTGCCTGTTGCGTGGGCATACCGTGGCAATAGCGTAGGTTCTTTTTACGAGCCTGTTGCGTGGGTATAGCGCGGGCATACCGTGGCAATAGCTTAGGTTCTTTTCACGAGCCTGTTGCGTGGGTATAGCGTAGGCATACCGTGGGAATACCGTGGCAATAGCGTGGCAATAGCGTGGGTTCTTTATTACGTGCCTGTTGCGTGGGTATAGCGTGGGCATACCGTGGCAATAGCGTAGGTTCTTTTAACGAGCTTGTTGCGTGAGTATAGCGTAGGCATACCGTGGGAATACCGTGGCAATAGCGTGGCAATAGCGTGGGTTCTTTATTACGTGCCTGTTGCGTGGGTATAGCGTGGGCATACCGTGGCAATAGCGTAGGTTCTTTTTACGAGCCTGTTGCGTGGGTATAGCGTGGGCATACCGTGGCAATAGCTTAGGTTCTTTTAACGAGCCTGTTGCGTGGGTAGAGCGTAGGCATACCGTGGGAATACCGTGGCAATAGCGTGGCAATAGCGTGGGTTCTTTACTACGTGCCTGTTGCGTGGGTATAGCGTGGGCATACCGTGGCAATAGCGTAGGTTCTTTTTACGAGCCTGTTGCGTGGGTATAGCGTGGGCATACCGTGGCAATAGCTTAGG